AACTTATCTGCAGTAACTGCAGAAAAAGCAAACCCATATATATATATATATATATATATATATATATATATATAGGTTTCAATTTTCTCATGTAGTAGGAGAGAATTTTCTCATGCTATAAACAAATCTTGTGTGATGCCCACATCCATTAAAAATACATAAAACAAAAGAAAATATTGCAAAAATATCGAAGAGTCAATAGTAAGAGAAAACAATTCTCCTACCAACATGATAAATTATATATATATATATATATATATATATATATATATATATAAAATAATATATATATTATATATATATATATAATATATATAGCATCACACAAGATTTGTTTTATGTATTTTTAATGGATGTGGGCATCACACAAGATTTGTTTATAGCATGAGAAAATTCTCTCCTACTACATGAGAAAATTGAAACCTATATATATATATATATATATATATATATATATATATATATATATATATATGCATACATAAAATTAGTTTGATGTTTGTCCTTTTAAAGGACATAGAGTTGTGTTATTTTAAGTGAAAGAAAGACACAAACAATAAAAACCATGGAGGAGAAAGTGGGTGAACTTTTTTAATTTAAATTTTAAATAAAAAATTTAGTTTGTGTCTTTCTCTCATCTAAAATGATACACCTCTATGTCCTTTAAAGGGGCAAATATTTATATATATATATATATATATATATATATATATATATATATATATATATATATATATATATATATGGGTCAATGATTGTCATGTTGCATGTAACGTCTCGCAACTTGCAAGGATCAACGACTGTCCCCACACACTAACACAAGACTTTTCAGCGTGCTTTGTTCTCACTCGCACACTTTCCGAGAAAACTTCCCAGGAGGTCACCCATCCCAGAATTGCCCCAAGTCAAGCACGCTTAACTATGGAGTTCTTTCGTTCCGGGCTACCGAAAAGTAGATGCGTCTTGTTAGTATAGGTAATACCAATTAATTCTTATAAGCTATTATCAACTGTACCGTCTTATACCAGCACAGTCTCTGGAATCCCTCTCTTTCGGGTGTTGATTCGATTTATTCATGTACCCCCGTCGCTGGAAGCATGTCAGGAGCCGCTCCTTGTCCATGTCCTTTCGCACCGGCTATCACTCCCCGCCCTCGTCAGCGCCTGGGATGTTACATATCAAGACATTATTTTCGTCATGCTACACATACAGAAACCAGTGGAGCCCATCCCTATTTTTTTAAAAATAAAATAAAATATAAAAACACAAATTTTGAAGTGTTTGCAAGAAACTAAACCACTTTCCGGTAGTATAACACTTGTTTTTTTATATAAATATGGGATTAATGTCTCTCATATTGTAGGATATAAACTTTATCTTCTACACACACATAAAATGTGTGGGGTCCACATACTTTTACAAACTTTTTTGTTTACAAACTTTTACATACTACACTATCTTCTCACGGGAGAACACTGATTACACTATGTTCTCCCGAGAGAGAAGATAATGTAATTTATAAAAAAAAATTATAAACGGATCTTTCTCTATATATATATATATATATGGGATTTGATTTTCTCATGTTAAATGAGAATTCAATTCTCATGTTGTGACTCAACTAGTGGTGGACCCCATATTTATTAAAAAAAAGAAAAGAAAAGAAAAGCTTTGCACACAAATCGAAGGGTCACTAACATGAGAATTGAATTCTCATGCAACATGAGAAAAAGTTTTTCATATATATATATATATATATATATATAATTAGCAAGCAAGTGGCCCTTCACCCCTTTTTTCAACAAAAAAAATGTAGTATTACCTGAAAGGGATCATTATTTTCTTTTATATAATTTTTAGTAGAGTTAAAATAAAGTTATCTGTATTATCAAAAAAAAAAATGTTATCTGAATTTATGGGACAAAAAAAGTAAATTTTTTTTCTGTAAATTTCTAAATATAAAATTGGTACACATAAATTACTGTTGCATTAAAAATGCAAAGAGGCTTAAAGTTGCATCTTGGATCCCCATTCTTTTCTTTACCTTCCTAACTAGCCTTCTTTTTGTTTTTCTTTGATTCCTTTTGCCTGTAAAAGCTTACTCTTTATCCAATAGCGGGGACCTTCCACAGTTAACACTTATATATATAGTATATGTAAAGTTGTATGGAAATCGACCACCATGTTCATGAGCCTTGGCACGAAAATATTCATTTTCACTTTTAGAAATTGGGTGGAGGCTAAGAAATTAATTGTAAGCAAATAAACGAAACAGCTACTGGTTGGTTTTGTTTCCCTTAAAGGTTAATTGGCTTATTTTAGTCCAATTTATCATGTGTCTCAAGTCTTTTTATTTTTGATAGTCTGTGTCTCAAGTCTTAACTAGCACCGGTTCTATACTGGTTCGAATGCATGGTTGATTCATTAAGGACTTGTTTGACAGTCATTTTAGGAGAGAAAGGGAAGAAAACTGAGAGTTTTATTTATACTTTTTCTTATTTGTGAGTTTAAAAAAATGGAGAAAAAGAATTGGAGATTTTTGTAAAATTCTACAAAACCCTTCTCACCCTTAAAACTAAAATTCCTTCAATTTGGAGATTTGAGGGAAAAAATATTAAAAATTTATTATCTACCTTAAGCATTAAAACGTGAAAACTACATCAGAGTTAATCATTTTTTAAATGCGACACTATTAGAAAAGTCTCAAATACTGATAAAATTTATCTACTGCAAATATTCATGTCGAAAATAGTGATGGAATTTTCGATGAAAATCATATTTCTTCGAAAATATAGACACTTTTTTTTCCATTGAAACTAAAGACGAAATTAGAGACGGAACAAGATTTTGTCATAACCACTTACAAATTTTTTTGACGAAATTAAAATTTCGTATAAACTCTTTACAGAATCTAAATTTCGTCGAAATTTTCGATGAAAAATATCTTTGTCAAAATTTTCAATGGAATTAGTTCTGTCAAAATTTTCAATGAAAAATATTTTGGTCAAAATTATCGACGGAATACATTTCTATCGAAAATTTTCGATTAAAAATATTTTTGTCCAAAAATTTGAAGAAAAATATTTCCGTCAAAAATTTGGAAGGAAAACAAATTCCATCATAAAATTTTACAAATGTAAATTCCGTCGAAACTTTCGATGGAAATATTTTTGTCAAAAATTTTGACGAAAAACATTTCCCTCAAAATTTAAAACGGAACACATTTCCAAAGAAAAATTTCGACAAAATACATTTACATAAAAATTTTTGATGAAAAATATTCTGGTAAAAAATTTCGACGAAAAAATTCCTTGAAAATTCTTGATGGAATCTAAATTTTCTCCAAAGTTTTGACGAAAATATTTCCGTCAAAAAAATATTTCCATAAAAAATTTTGACGAAAAATATTTCTATCAGAAATTTCGACGGAATACTTTTTTCTTTCAAAACTTTTGATGAATTTTTTTTTCGTCGAAAATATTTATGAATCATTTTCGTCAAAACTTTTGACGAAAACTAAATTTCATCTAAAATATTGACGGAATTATTTTTTGTCAAAAATTTGACGGGTAAAAATATTTGTTTCCTTTCAATGAAAAAATTCCATAAAAAATGTATCTTTCGTCATTTGAAACATAGAAATTTCATTGAAAATACTATCTAAGTAGTGTTTAAAGTTAGGGGTGTTAATGGGCCGAGCCGAGCCGAGCTTTGGTCTTAAAAGGCTAAGCCTGTGATTAAATGTGTCGGCCTTACCAAGCCTGTTACCTGTTACGAATATAATTATCGGTCTGTGGCCTGCCTTATTTACAAAACATAAAAGCCTGATTTGGCCTGTTAGAAAAAAAGAAGACAATAAAAATTTATCCAAACAAAATATACAATCAACAACACTAGTAATTTCATAAATGTTCATAAATTCAATGTTATATCGAAACAACATAATATTGAACAAAATCATTCAAAAAATATGTTTAACTAATAAAATAGGGGTGAAATAGATTGAGAGGAGAGAGAGCTATTACAAATAGTATAACAAATATAAATAAAAATAAAAATTAATATACTAGGCCAGCCTGAGAGGCTCCAAGGCCGAGCTTTTGAATTGAAGCCTGAGACATTTTTACTAAACGAGATTTTATACAAGTCCAAGCCTGGTTCCAACAACCAATATTAGGCATGTAAGCCTGAGCCTTCACGAGCCGAGCCAAAGGCCCCTGAAAGGCCTCTGACTCATTTATCACCCTTATTTGAAGTACATAAATAATATTTTTTTAGAAATTTTAAATTTAATTTTATATGTAAAATATAATAATCATATTAATTTTTTAAAAAATGATAAAATGATAAAAATATCTCATTAACCTCCTATTTTTTCTTCCTTACTTTTTTTAACTCACAAATAAAAAAAAGAAATACCTTTCAATTTCCTTCCTCTCCTTTGAATCTCCTTTCTTTCTTTCCCCTTCAAACTCCCAAATAAAATCTAAAGGGACCGGACCGATTGGGATCACGGATCACGGTTGAACCAATCTCGGTCGGTTCTAATAAGACTCTATTTAATATACAAATCATCATAGCGTGTTTTAGTTCAAAAGTTACATTTCTACTAAATATACACATTATTTGTAATGAGTAAGACCCTGACTCTGTATAATATCCTAATCCCTATGTAAAAAGAATATTAAAAAATATAAATAGCAGACAAAAATAGAATCATTGTACATAAGAATATATACTTTAGATACAGCTAGAGTTGGCTTATTCTGGGACGAAGATGCTTACTAAAGCCCAAAGTTTCTTCTTCATTCAAAATTCCAAAACCAAGAGATCAAGCAATTCCCTCTTTTATGAACTTTATCTAAAGGAAAAATCTATAAGACTGAACCACATCAGAATAACACCATGTCAGAACCATAAAAAATTGTCTTATAACAAGTTTCCTCTCTATATAGTGCTCTCAACTTTGCACTCATCTCTCATCTACTGAAACCAACAGGATGCGTTCTTACAGTACCACTGTTTTAGCACAGTTGTTTGGCTTCCTAGCCATCATCCTCTTGCTTGTTTGGTTGCTACATTACCGCGAGGGGATTGAATATGATTCTGAGGATGCACTTCGCGTTTTTAATGTAACACTCTTTCTTGTGTTTTTCTTCTTTGTTTATAAACAAAATTACTCACGTTCTAGCTACTTCATCTATCTGAGTCTTTCTCCACCCAAACTCTGCTCTGCAGGTTCACCCTTTTTTGATGTTCTGCGGGTTCATTTTCCTTGCTGGTCAAGGTATCTCACTCTCCTCTCATGTCTCTTTTGTTGTAGAGCTATATCTTATATACTAATTACTATATTCAATTCATCAACATCTAGAATAAACCATCAAATTATTACTCCTATGTAGCACTCTATTAGTATAAAATATAAAATTATTAATATACTTTAAACTTAATACGATTCTTTACATGATATCATAATTTTTAAGACCAAGTGATAGAGTTCTATCATTGTCATCTCCATTCTATTTCCAAATAGTTAAATATGATTAAATTTCTTAACATCAGTATGTGGGCTCGTAGGTAAATTTATATATTATTCATTTTTCAAGTCCAATGAATTCTTATGTATATAATACAAAATAGAAAATTATTATTTACTTAACGGTATAAGTTTTTGAGTTGAAATAATTTTTTTAGTTTCTTTCCCCTCTCCGAATTAATTTAGCTACACAAAGATGCATTGAACTGCTTTTAGATTTTGTCTGTGGGATAGACAAATACCATATCAGTTTCTTCATGATTAGGTTGGTGTTAAATTTGAGCAGCAATACTGGCATACCAGACTGTACCAGGCGACCATCAAACACAGAAGATGGTTCACATGACACTTCATTTCATTGCTATAATTCTTGGGATTGTTGGTATATGTGCCGTTTTCAAGTTCCATAATATGGTGAACTTGGTGAATGTTTACAGCCTCCATTCATGGATTGGCATTGGCACCTTCTGCCTGTTTGGCTTGCAGGTAAAATTTATCCCAATAAAAAGTCCATGATCTTAACAAGAATAATGAAGGCCAAATCTTTGGCCTAATATAAGTCAAAACTTTCATAATGGAATGTGCTTATTGCTTGCAGTGGCTTTTTGGACTCGTCTTCATGCTTCAAAGATCTCCACAATCAAGGGCTGCTGCGGTGGCTCCAATATGGCACATATCTGGTGGTAGAGCACTATTTTACATGGCAATTGCTGCTGCACTTACAGGTTTAATGGAGAGGTATACTATGTTAAGACTACAACCACACCAGAGTGAATCTCATTTGATCAACTTCACGGGTCTAGCAATTCTCTTGTTTGGAGTTTTTGTGGAAATGTCAGTTGGTCTGGTCCATTTTTAGGTGAATTAATTGCATTTCTCTATTCTATATATATACTTGATTGGTCATCATCAATTGGATTAATCAATTTTTTTTATTTTTTTATTTGGATTTTGTAATTCTGTTGTTCCATTACCGGAAATGGCTTGTATAATTTTTTTTCTTCATTTCTTTTGTATTCTTATGGGATATAAGTTGATTAATTGATGTGGTTTGCTTTCATACTAAAAGTTAAGTTGATGCAGTGTGATTCTCTATATTGGTTCCAAAGTTAAGTTGTTGTAAGTAAATGTTAGATTGTTAGGTAGGTATTTTCCCTACTTACATGTCACAAAAATTCTGAGCCTTCATTTGTCTCTTGGAAACTTTGGATTAGCCACCTAATCAGTACACATATCTTAATTTACATGCTCTCTCAGATGAATCATGATCAATGATCAATCTATTACTTAAGCCGTTTATTATAATAAGCTACACTTAATCACGATTCTTCATGAGTTCAATTCAAAGCTGTAATAACACTGTTTCCTTTTCTTCTTCTTCCTTTTCTTTTTATCTTTTTTCTTTTTCCAATTTTATTTTGAGAGACCAAGTAAGTGTAAATTTTTTCTTAGAATAAAAAGAGTCTTATAATATGCTATATATATATATATATATATATATATATATATATATATATATATATATATATATATATTTTCTGAAATGATAATTTCAAATATAAGTAAATCTAAACTTTTACAAAGTCGCTTGCTTTTATAATTGTTATCTATTTTACAAAAGTATACATGTTTTGAATGTAAAGAACATTATTTTAGCATATTATAGATGTAAGCCTTTTTTTTTCTTTTTTCTTTTTTTTTTTCGGTAAACGATGTAAGCTTAATAAGTTTTGTTTATAAAAATGTCAAAATTATATATAAAAAAATGTTTGAAAAATGAAAGAAAAATAGCACATAACTTTGTTATAAGCAACTGTGTTTTCATTAGTATTACGAAACTAAAAAAAAAAAATCCAAATTTTCATTCAAATTTAATTAAATTTAAAGGTAGTTGTTGATTAATTAAAAGAAAGTGATAAAAATTACAGACATATTTATGTATAGACAGGGGAGGAGATTTCTTTGGCTCTCACCCACACGTGATAGAACCAAAGGCTCATTGCCCCATAAGTGGCATTTTAATAAACAAAACCATTTGGAAATTTATATTTTAGGATTATCGTCTGTGTCATGTTATAAAAAATAAAATTATTTTATATATATATATGGAAAAAGAAGAATAATATTGTAGGAAAATATTTAGGTTATGTTATAGAGATAGAAATTGTGAGACCCACACTTGTTTTTAAAAAATAAAAAAATATAGATCTCACAAATCTCTATCTCTACAACATAACCTAAACACTTTCCTACAATATTATATTTCTATTTCCCATATATATATATATATATATATATATATATATATATATATAATTTAGTTCATATGAACTTCACATATTTATTTATATATATATATATAAGAGATAATTTTATGCATGAGAACGCGATAAACATCTATTTTTTTATTTTATTTTTCCTACTTTTGCTTGGCGAACTCCCCCTCCGCATTTCATCTTTAACAAGAAGTGGTCCCCTTCATTCTTTTATTCTCATTTTCATTCTTTCTTTTACATTTTATATTAAACCTTGTCTAAGGTCCGAACTTACTTTTCCATATTCTCTAACTACCTACTCCCCAGTTCAATGAATCGTTGCCTTGGTCACAAAGAGAAATATAAATTATTGGATAGAACCTGAGACATAATCTGCTTCCTAATATCTCAACGCACATATCCCCCTCTCTTTTTTGGGTCGAGATTCTATTTGCGGTTGCAATCATGATAAAATGAGGACTTACTCCTATAGCACATGCAAGATCAAAGTTTCATTTAATAAGGAGAATTTACCAAAGTACCTAATAAGGGTGTCTGAAATAAGGTAGAAAAATAAAAAGGATAAATTCAGTGTTCCGTAACCATGAAGCACCTAAGAGTGAACTTCACCGGTCTTTTACTTTTTTTTCTTTGCAGTCACTGTTAAACTGTTACAAACCCAATACAAGAGAGATGAAGAGAATAGCGAGCATGAAGTAGATGAAGCATTGTCGGTGGAACCGACAGCAGAGGATGAAGTAGAAGTTCCTAGAAGAGGAACCAGGATCAGAGTCCGTTCCAATTGGACCAAGAATTACCACTTGGGATGAGGTGGGCTACATGAGGGCAGAGGCCCATATCCTTAATGCTGAATGATAGTAAATTGAGTACCTTGTAAATAATGGGCTGACGTGTAGGAAGTCCAATAGGAGTATAGTCTGATATTTCCTTTATAATTGAGAGTCACATGTTTGTGTGAGGTGTCAAAAAGTTGTAACAGAATTCTCTTTCTTCTTCCTCTGTAATCTTCTTGGAGTCACCGGCAGACTCGAATTGCCGTTGGATCTTTAATATACTGTCCTTAATTGTGTTTTCGTTCTTAATCCCATCATTTTGGTGCTTTCATTGAGAGGCAACTTCTGTTCATCACCACCATGACAGAGGGAACTCGCAGCACGGTGAAACAACAAAGTGCCATTGATGAATGTATGGCCAGATTGCACCACCACGAGGAGCAGTTCGATGCTCTGGGAAATCTGTTACAGGAAATGAACAGGAAATTAACTATGGTTGAAGCAAAATTAGATCAGAATCACAAACATAAGGGTAAGACAGAACACTCATCTGGCGAAGGAATTGCTAGTTTATTTGGTACTAATGCCTTTAAATCGGTTAAACTCACCATACCTCGTTTCAATGGAGGTAACCCTGAACCTTGGATCCATAAGATTCAACAATTCTATGGGTTCCATAGCTTATCCGATACTGAAAAATTTACATTGACCTCATTCCACATGGATGGGAAGGCAGAAGACTGGTACCATTGGATGGACCGAAATGGCAGATTACACACTTGGGCTCAATTTTTGGACGCATTGCGTTCCAGATTTGGTCCTTCGCGATATAGAGATTTGCGAGGTGAATTGGGTCGCATAACCCAAGGCTCAACAGTAGATGAATATCAAACACACTTTGAACAGCTGGCCAATCAGGTAATTGGAATTGATGATTTGAGCCTTCCAAGTTACTTTGAATCTGGCCTCAAACCAGAAATCCGCAAGGAGGTGCGTATGCATCTTCCTACAAGTTTGGAGCAAGCTATTGATTTAGCAAAAATAGTGGAGGACAAATTGAATGATAAAAGTCCCAGTAGAACCTATTACAATAAAACCCAAATTAGCAGTACTCAACCTGGATTATTACCTACTCCAGCCAAACCTCTTGCTATTGGTGCTGGACCACCCAAGTCTGCACTACCCATGAGGAAGCTCAGCCAAGCCGAAATGTTGGAGAAGAGGGAGAAAGGGTTGTGTTTCTATTGTGATGAGAAGTTTAATAGAAGCCATGTCTGTAAGGGGAAGTTGTTCATCTTAGTGATGCAGCCTGAAGACGATGATCAACAGCTCTTGGAGGATACAGCTCCAAGTCCAGAAACGGTTACTGAGGAGATAGTCATTGCAGATACTCTCACGCCTGAGATCAGCTTGCATGCTATGGCAGGTCAGCATTCCACTAGTACCCTGCGAGTCAAAGGCAGAATAGGCAATGCATCAGTACAAATTCTAGTTGATGGTGGGTCAACCCACAATTTTATCCAAGACCGTTTGGTAAAATTTTTGGGGTTAGAAACGGTACCTACACAGAAATTCCAAGTTCTGGTGGGCAATGGAGAAAAGATGAACTGCTTGGGCATGTGTCCCCAGGTAGCTTTGGAAATGCAAGGTCATGGATTCTGTCCAGATCTTTATGTATTACCCATTCAAGGAGCAAAAGTGGTCTTAGGAGTGCAATGGCTATCTGAGTTGGGTGATATCACTCTGAATTACAAACAGCTGGTGATGAAATTTGAGCGTGACGGGAAGCAATTGGAGATACAAGGAGAATCTGCTACAAACATGGAAGCCATCCAATTGAATCAGTTCCGGAGACTCACGGCATCTAATTCCGTCGCGTGCCTTTATCAATTCCATTCCATTGTGCTTTCGGATGAGCAACCCACAGTCAATGGCCAGGTTCCTGATGCCCAGGTGCTGCAAGTTCTGGCAGAGTTTGAGCAAATATTTGAGAAGCCATCCACTTTACCTCCACATCGCCAGCAAGACCATCAGATTCATTTGCAGCCTGCAACAAAAGCCATCAGTGTTAGGCCCTACAGATATCCACACTTTCAGAAAACTGAAATGGAGAGAATGGTGAAAGAGATGTTAGATTCAGGAGTGGTTCGACCCAGTATCAGTCCCTTCTCCTCTCCTGCCTTACTAGTTAAAAAAAAGACGGTACATGGCGATTCTGTGTAGACTATCGCGCTCTCAACCAAGTGACGATACCTCATAGTTTTCCCATTCCGACCGTAGATGAGATGCTTGACGAGTTAGCAGGTGCCACCATTTTCTCCAAGCTGGATCTCAGGTCCGGTTATCACCAGATCCGTATGGTTGACCAGAACATCTACAAAACTGCATTCTGCACGCATGAGGGCCACTATGAATTTGTGGTTATGCCCTTTGGCTTAACCAATGCCCCAGCCACATTCCAGGGGATCATGAACTCCATCCTGAAGGTATATTTGCGAAAATTTGTTATTGACTTCTTTGATGATATTTTAATTTACAGCAAAACTCTCGAAGACCATTTGCAACACCTACGTGCGGTATTGGAATGTCTACAAACCAATCAGCTGTATGCAAAGAAGGAGAAGTGCTCGTTTGCTCAAACTGAGGTGGAGTATCTCGGTCATGTGGTTGATGCCGTGGGGGTCAGACCCGATGAGGGAAAGATCAAGGCGATCATCGAATGGCCGGAGCCTAAGACTGTGAAACAGATAAGAAGCTTCCTCGGGCTGGCCGGCTACTACCACAAATTTGTAAAGGGATTCTCCCAAATAGCAGCCCCATTGACTACACTCCTCCAGAAGGATGCTTTTAAATGGGACTACATGGCTGCCCAAGCAATGACTCAGTTGAAGAACACCCTGTCTAACCATCCTGTATTAGCCTTGCCTGACTTCAGTAAACCTTTTGTTTTGACTACTGACGCATCCGGCACCGGCATTGGAGCTGTGCTCAGCCAAAGTAATCAGCCTATTGCCTTCTTTAGTCGCAAATTATAAGCCAGAATGCAGCAAACGTCTACGTATGTCCGAGAGCTATTTGCAATTACCGAAGGGGTAGCCAAATTTCGTCAGTATTTGTTGGGCAATAAGTTTACCATTAGAACTGATCAATGCAGTATAAAGAACTTGATGGCTCAAGTTATCCAGACACCGGAACAGCAACGCTTTCTGGTCAAATTGCTTGGCTATGACTTTGATATTGAATATCACCCCGGTGCTATCAATAAGGTCGCGGATGCCTTGTCCCGCAGGCATGAAGGAGAGGTACAAACGGAATTGGTCACTTCACAGATGCTGACTTTAACCACCAGAGTTAATCCCCTGCTACCTGCCATAAAAGCGGAGGTTAAAGACAATTCTGAATTAAGGAACATAGTCACTGCAGTTCAGGAAAACAAGGATGGATTCACACACTACCAAGTTAAGGATGACCTTCTTTACTTCAAAGGTCGTATTGTTTTGTCCAGCACTTCGGAGATTCGTATTGCCTTGCTGCATGAGTTCCATTCAACGGTGGTCGGTGGTCATGGTGGGATACGAAAGACCCTTCATCGTTTATCAACACATTACTACTGGCCCAATATGAAGTTTGATGTACAAGAATTTGTTCGCACCTGCCCCATATGCCAAGTTACTAAGTACCAGCCTCTCTCCCCCGCTGGCCTCTTGCAACCACTTGCTATTCCGATGGCTGTATGGGAAGACCTTTCAATGGATTTTATAATTGGTTTGCCACCATCGGAGGGGAAGACTGTCATTATGGTAGTCGTGGATCGCCTATCCAAGTACTCCCATTTCTCTGCATTGACAGGTAACTTCACTGCTTCAAAGGTAGCATCAGTCTTTGCTTCTGACATCTGCCGTCACCATGGAATTCCCCGGTCAATTGTATCCGACCGAGATCGCGTTTTTGTCAGCAAATTCTGGCAAGAATTGTCACGATTAAATGGCACCAAGCTCCATTTTAGCACTGCAAATCACCCACAGAGTGATGGGCAAACAGAAGTTACCAATCGTGGATTGGAGCAGTATTTAAGATGCTATACTATGGAAAATCCAAAGATTTGGGCACAGTACTTACCATGGGCTGAGTTCTCGTACAACTCTTCCTTTCACTCAGCCATTGGATCAAGTCCGTTCCAGATTCTCTACGGTCGTCTCCCTCCACCCTTGCAACCGTACGACAGAGCAGCAACACCAATTGAGGTCGTCGATACCCTGCTCAGTCAGAGGGATCAGATTATACGGCAACTCCGGGAGAATCTCCACCGCGCCCAACACCGCATGAAGGTCCAAGCGGATAAGCACCGCCGGGATGTGCAATTCACAGTGGGTGACCAGGTCTTAGTCAAGCTTCAACCCTATCGTCAGAAATCTGTACGGCATCAAACTTTCTCAAAACTCCGGCGACGCTACTATGGTCCTTTTCCGGTGACTGTTCGTGTTGGACCTGTAGCCTACCGCCTGTCTCTTCCCACCGACTCCCGTATCCATCCCGTTTTCCACGTTTCATTGCTGAATCCGTTTCGCAAAAATCTGTTCTTTCATCCCTTGCCTCTTCCACCAGTAACGTGGGATAATCACCCAGTGGCTGAACCAGTTACGATCTTGCGTTCGCGAACTCTAATCAAGGGTAAAGTCTCCGACTTTCAGGTGCTGGCGCAGTGGAGCGGCCTTCCCCTTGAAGATGCCTCATGGGTCTCCGTTTCTGAGTTCGTCCAGGCCTTTCCCCAATTCGATCTTGAGGGCAAGATCGCGTCTTTATCGGAGGAGGGATTTGTTACGAACCCAATACAAGAGAGAGATGAAGAGAATAGCGAGCATGAAGTAGATGAAGCATTGTCGGTGGAACCGACAGCAGAGGATGAAGTAGAAGTTCCTAGAAGAGGAACCAGGATCAGAGTGCGTTCCAATTGGACCAAGGATTACCACTTGGGATGAGGTGGGCTACATGAGGGCAGAGGCCCATATCCTTAATGCTGAATGATAGTAAATTGAGTACCTTGTAAATAATGGGCTGACGTGTAGGAAGTCCAATAGGAGTATAGTCTGATATTTCCTTTATAATTGAGAGTCACATGTTTGTGTGAAGTGTCAAAAAGTTGTAACAGAATTCTCTTTCTTCTTCCTCTGTAATCTTCTTGGAGTCACCGGCAGACTCGAATTGCCGTTGGATCTTTAATATACTGTCCTTAATTGTGTTTTCGTTCTTAATCCCATCATAAACTCCCCGTCATTCTCTCACGAAATTATATATAGCAGTAACTAATAATCAACCATAACACGTCATAAAATGAAATAAGTTTTAATAGGAAATTAGATTCTCGTCCGTTAGGAAATAACATGACAATGTCAAGCGATAAGAGAAAAATATAAAAGTAAAAATTAATAAAATTTTGTATAAATAATGGGGAATTCTATCAAAATTATTTTTATAGTTTTTTTTCTTTCAGAATATGACATTATTATGGTAATAAACACATGAAAAAAATCCAAATTCATTCTACATAACCTGTTATTCGGTTTCAGTCTGAAATGTACATGGGTAGTAGAGATATTACATATGGTAAGTTGTCATATTAAATTATAGTTAAAAATTAACAGAGTATAATGATTACATTCCTCAAGCATGATGAAAATTCGATTCTACTTTAATGTATTAGCAAATTAAAAATGTCTTGACAACATAAATAAATATAATACGTTCGCTGAAAGTCAAAGTTACAGAGACCAGCTTATTGATCGAGAAATAAAATATATAAGAATAAAACGAATGGAATCCAAATTTGAGCTGATTGGTTAGAAGTGGCACAGTGATATGAATGATACTTAAATTCCATTTCATTATCACCTTGGTGAACTAGTTCCAATGCTGGAAGTGGCAAAACACTGCTTAAGCATAAAAAAGTTGTAACTTACTGTGTAAGAAGCCGCAATCAACGGTGACCAAATAAACAAATCCCAGAAATATAATATTTAAGCAAATGCTTTTGAGCATTTTCCTCAGCATTATAATCCTCCTTTATGCTCCACCCACCAAGACTAATAAAACTAATCATGTCAAACAGTTCCCCTTAGAAGAGTATCTTCAAGTATACAAAAGAGGATTAGGACAACTCAGTTTCTTAAAAGGAAAATGTTACGTATATTTATTGTTTTGGGGTATAATTGTTTGAGACCAAAATGATTAGTAAAAAAAAAAAAAAAAAAAGTAGCATAATAAAATTAATATAACTTCAAAATAAATTAAAATTCCAAACATATTTTTCCTCCAACTCAAGAGATAATTTTATGAACAGGAAATGAATAGTTTTACTGTCTCTCAATATAAACAGGAAGTGCAAAGCTCTTCCACATAACTTCTTGTTCAGTTTCTCAAATTATGAAGAAAAAAATTAATCAACGATGAAACACTTGAATTTATCAATCGAAAATAAAATAATCCATTCTGGGAACAACCAGAATACCAAAGCAGCAGATCAATAAATTACACACTATTTCAGCAGTATTTCTGAGTAAGCAAACAACAAAAAGTAAAAGTTCAAACCCATTGCTGCTTTGTTGCCTCCATTCTGTGCAATAAACCATCAATCTCATCTCTCATTCTTTTTTTCATTTTATAGTAATCAAAGTAGGAATTTTCCAAGATTTTGACTTCATCCAATTTCTTCCTCTGTGTTTCCTCTGTCTCATGCAAACGAAGTTTGGAAAGCTTTTCAGCATATTCTTCTTCCATCTGTGAAGTCTTGGTCCTAAGCATCCTCTGGTACCCTTCTGCCTCTCTCCTTGCTTCATCAGCTTTGGTTTGGAACATTCTAGCTTCTGCCTCCTTTATCCTCACAATGCTCTCCAAACTTTCAAGTCCACCTTTCCTTAATAAAGCTCCCAATTGGAAATCGTCCTCATTTTTTAGTTCATTTAAGAGGGAAGCTTTGAGGTCTTTCTGATGAAGATCGTTTGAAAGGGCATCATGATGGGGCCTAGAATAGCTCATGTCATAACCATATTTTGGTATTAGAGAATTAGATTTCACAAGAGATGGTGTATTCTTTGTAAGGTTAGCTTGAGAGACTGCCGAATCCTTTGACGAAATACTAGGAGCAGGAAAGTTTGACATTCCATCTGCATCTATTTATCAGAAAAATTATCTCTCAATAATAGTTAGATATCAGATATTATTGTCAGTAATTTAATTAAATCAAACAAGCCTGAACATCACATAAAAGATTAGTTCAGCAAGAACTAAGCAACCTTCCACACAAGAGGTCACATGTAGTTTGAGTTATTTCATCAAACACATTCAACAGAACCAAAGAGATAATAGCAATTGTACCTTCCAAGCAACTTAGCTTTATATACATCTTTCCTGTTCCCTCACCACTCCCCTCCCGTGTTAACAAAAAGGATGAAAACAATAATAACGATAACTGCAGTTCTCAGGAACTAATGACATTCCAATGCTTCCTATCTCAATGAAGCACTTCAATTCCAAATACCAATGCTAAGATGTAAATATCTTAACCAGGGAGGGAAGAAGATGCAACAACTATACCATATTAGGCAAGAGTGCTCATTGTAATACATAATTCATTATTCATGCAAATCAAGCATCAGAAGACCATGACCAAATGTTTTATAGGCATCAAATGCCAGCAAACCTGGGATGGGAGTAAACAACATCCAATCTGAGTACAGAAAGTGAATTAGGATGTGCTAGAAAACAAGTCTGACTGATTAAGACTTGAAGTTAATAAGACATCTAGCAGAGTCTCAAATTACTTCATAAATAACATTCAAATCCTTCATATAGTCAGTTTGAATTAGCTTATGGTGTAGAAAAGCTTACAATCAAAATGTTCAAGAAAGAGATTTTGGCTTCTTCTTTTTTTTTTTAATGCAAACCAAACATGCTTATAATCCACTTTAAAAACGGCATCAACAAACTTTATGGTTCTCAATTCTCATTCTTAGAGTCTAAATGAATTCTCAACTTGTCCTGAATTTCCAGCCTCAAACAAAAAATTGTGGCTGCAACAGTGTGGCTGTATATTGTTATTTTATTTTAATGGCCTTGAACAGCCAAAGAGTAACTTATTTCACCTTTCATCTTGTCTCCTTTTCATTTTAAATTGTCTGTTATTAATTTTTATTTTGTTTTAACAATGACTCAATGGAAAATTTTAAGAGGCGAAAAAGGGGTTCAAAGTTCCATAAGTAATTTGTATAAACAGCTTAATGTATTCGGCATCTCATTTTATTAATCTGTGCCCTGCTGTTTCTTCTATCACTCAGAAGCAGAATATATTTATCAAAAGTAATGGTACCAAATCACATAAAAAAAAGGCTAATAGGTTTTTACTCACTTCTGATAAATAATGGTACATCAAACCCTTCATATCATGTGAATAAGCAGGTTTAAGAGCATATCAACTGATTTTTACTCAATCCATTTACTCCATGGTGAGACTAAGCAAATCATGTTGTGTTCATATTGCATCATAACCATTTAAATGCTATATGAAGCAAATATTTTTTTAAAATAAACACATAAATTTAAATATGAAAAGAAAAGATCACCGTCAAGACACTTACAGCTGAAAAATTGTATGATGTAATTGCAGGCATCCAAAGGAGATACCATCTTGGTTTGAAGCTTTAATAGCATGTCATCAGTTTTATCATGCAATTCCTTCCCTTTGCGATCTTCACTTCCCCTGAAAATCCTCCTTACACAACCAAGCTCTTTCAGCAAGGTTTCAAGGCCCCAATCCTTTGCACAACACATGAAAACATCTTTAACGAACCCAAACATTTCAGAAGCATGTCCACAGCCAATACAATGAAACTGCATCTCTGAAGTCCCTGAAGGTCCCTTCAAGCTAGGACCAGGTTTGATGAGATTTCTCTGAATGCCACAGGCAGCATGGCACCAATGGGAACAAACATCACAACCAATCCAACTACAAGTGTTACTTGCACAATCAAAGTTCAAACAGATAGGACACATGCAAGAACTGCAAAACCCCTTATTTCCTGAGCAAATCTTGCAGTCACAGTCATCAACAGGAAGGACATGCTTGCAGATCACATTTCTACATCTCCTATACAAGAAAATCTCTACCATCTCAGATAAGTGAACTTTGCTAGATAAGAAGCTTGCAAGCCCCATCTTGACAGCCACTAAAATCTCTAATTGCACTTTATGGCACTTTGAAAGAGTCTCCTTGGTAAGGTCAGATCTTCTCTCAAGCTGATTTTGAAGGCTGACCAATTCCTCTTTCTTGTCAGGCTTCTCAATGAGATTCTTCAAGTATTCCTTAGTTGATGATACGACTTCATCAGTAAGCTCCTGAATTGTCAAAGCCATGGGAAGGATAGTCTCTGAAACAATTTCCCTGACAATTCTCTCTGGTCTAGAAAGCTTCCTTATCTTCCCACCATCTAAGCCTTCCAAGGCTCTCAGATTCTCAGAATTCCTTCCCCTTGAGTCCCCTGACTGAGCCTCAAATCTTGGTCTGGCAGGCAATTCTGAAGGGAAAAAAGAATGATTATCTGAACTAGTAGTTTTAAACTGGCTATTACCTTGCATGAAGGAACTAAGACCACCAAAATTATTGGACAAAGCAACCCCGTCTCCTATTGGCTTGAACCTACTATGAACAGACCCATTAGTCCCCTCCCCACAATTCCAAATTTGGTCATCTTTGCTCACTGAATAATCAAAATTATCAGTTGAATTGCGGGTGAGTGAGCAACTTGGGTTGTGTGAGAAAGGGTGAGAATAAGAGTAAGACAAAGAAGCTGTTGTATAATCATTTGAATATGAATTGTGAGTAGTTGATGGCCTGCTAGGTTTAGTTCTAACTGGTTGATCACCACCATTTTGCAAGGCGTTTGAAGCTGTGAGAGAAAGTGACACATCAGGCAAAGCAAGAGAGAGATTAAGTGTCTCCAGCTTTGGCTTCTTGTCCCTATTACCCACCCTTTCAACCTCTTCTTCTTCAAGCGATCGCTTTGAAGAATCCTCTCTGGTTTCACTCAGGCTCAAGAAATCTCTTTCCACCCATTTACCATCCTGATTTGAAACCTCGGAAACGACAACCTCTTTACCTTTGTGGCTCACTTTTTCCAAGGAATTCAGCAAGCTTTTACCAGGAGTCTCTTTCTCAGCAAGATCCAATTTTGTGTTATCACAAAGGTAGCTGAGGGTAAGCTCTTGCAGTCCTGAACAACCAACAACCTTAGTGTGTTTCAACTGAAGAACCCCATCAACACCACCACCACCACCACCACCCAATTCTGAATCTCTCAGAAAATCAACACCTTTCTTCTCTGGGTACTCCTTGATAGGCTCAAAATTGTGCCTTGACAACTTGCTCCTTGAGTTCTCACCCTCAGATTCAACAGCACCATTACGAAGATCTTTACTTCCAAGCATGGCCAAAGGAACAAGAGAAGAAAGAGGGAGAGAGAAGAAAGAGGGAGCTATAACAATGACAGAGAAAACATACACAAAACACAACTAAGGTTCACACTTCACAGGGGCAATTCAGAAAATAAAAGGAGAATCTAAGGCCTTTTTTCTTTGCTCTCTCAGCTTTGGTTACTCAACAAGACATTATTAGCTTTGCTGTACAAAGCAACGGCTGGATTTTCATTTTTCATAGCGTTCACACTGTTTTGTATGTATATACATAAAAAAACGGCGATGCTTTTCTGAATGTATAAGATTACAGTCTTAACCCTTGAAAACGTACACAATTACTCTCAAGTGGACCTCTTTTTTGACTTAAACTTTTTTTTTCTTTGTTCTGAACGAAACAAGTCACATGTCTCACATCACCAGCAAGTAGGACTTCTTCTTTTTCACAAAACCTCATCTTCTTCTGTTCCTTTCAGTTCTTTAGGCCTTGTATGACATTATCATTATTTTCACCAAAAGAGACAAACAAATATTCACATTTAATTAGGCCTGATTAACGTTCAAATTCTTTTTTGAAAAAGTCGTGTGAGACAGTTATTGAGCTAAAGACTGTGGTCAGAGTCGATGAACAAAATTCACTCACTAGTGAGGTGCATTAATATACTACATAAATATCAAAATTAGACACAGTTTTTTTTTTCTTTTTTCTTTTTTAATATGCAAAACTGTAAACAGTCGATATTTCTTTGGGTATATCTGGACATAACCCTTTTTCTTCTTGAAGTTAAGAAGTATAGGATAGGAGAAATTATCTCATTTTACAAACACAAGTCTTAAGATTATGATTTATAAAGGTATTTATATTAAAAAAAATCATAAATTTCAGGTAAGTTTCATTAAATAATTTTTTGACCAACTACTTTTTGAGTAAAACTAAGTGGAATTAATTCAATAATAAAAAATATATTAAAAACATATCAAATAACGTGTTATTGACAAACTTTACTGTTATAAATAACATATATAAAAGAGATTTCATAAATAGTTTGTTTACAAGGGGGAAAAAAAATTTGGACTAGGTTATTTTATTTACAGATAGCGAAAATGCGCCAACTCGTCGGGTTAGATCATAATCCGCATAAAATGAGTCGAGTTAAGTTGACAAAAATGAACTGAATCCGAGCTAACTTCAAAAAAAATCGAGTCAACATGCAGGGTAAACAGATTAGCTTGAGGGTTATCTTTTTTTTATTTATTAAAAAAATATAAAAGAATAATAAAGGGGCTAGATCTAAGTTTTGTAGATGATGATGTGAAAATTGTATTTCCCATATATTGGGTTGCTCTTTTTAAGGGGAATCTAATGCTCATGAAACTTGATTTGCTTTAACATTATATCTTGTTGGACTTGAAACTTGGGTATATATATATATACAGTGGCCAGTAAATAGCGATTATATTAAGTGTTTTTCTTTCCGGTAAATATCTTATAAAATAATTTCCTTAGCTTTTTCACTACATGTACTGAATGAGTGTGACAAATGCTATTTTTTCCTCCATTTTTTTGAGTCAACCCTAACTCGGCTCGGATCGGATTGGGTTAGGTTTTTTTGCTTCTTTTTTTTTCAAGTCAATCCTAACCCAGTTAATCTTTTTCGGGTTGGCCCTTTTGTCATATCTAATTTTATTTTTATTTTTTTTACTTATTTTTGTCTATTCTCTAATATCATTAGATCGGAATAGAGAAATGTAAAATAATAATCATATTATTCTGAATCAATTTCATTTAATGTATTCAGATTATTATATATTTATATTGGAAAAAGTATTTGTTCTTTTAAATGACACAACTTATGTCATTTCACTTTTACAACAAAATAGGACCCATACATTTATATTTTTTTGTCTACTTTCTCTCTTTTTTTATCCATCTCTTTCTTTTATTTAAAATGATAGAATTTTAAATCATTTACATTTTTTTCATTTATATCAGCGTGAACAAGCCGGCATGGCACTCGCTACTTTTCTTCCTTCCTTCCTTCAAGTTCAAAGTCAACATGTTGCCCTATGCTATGTAACCGTAACGCTTTTGCTATGCAAACCCAAGTGCATCCAAATTGAAAAATAAGAAAACAACAAATTCCTCATAAATAACTGACATGACGATACAGTTAATGTACCACAAGCAAAAAGTCAATGTTTCTGAAGCGAAAATATTCTTTTATTTCTTTTTGATTCGATTTTTTTAAAGGATAAATATAGAAAAAGATATGTATTATTTTTAAAGAATATAAAATTATGTCATTTTAAATTAAAAAAAATATATAGATTATAGAAGAGGAAGTAGGTGATTTTTTTTTAAAAGTGTGAATTTCATCTCTTAGTGAAAATGAAAAGACACAAAATATATCATTTAAAATAACACATCTTTTTTCCATAAATATATAGAGGTCAAATTTGGAAGAGGATAATTAAAATTTATTTTCAAATTATTATTTTTTATTTTCAACTTTTAAATAAAATATTAAAAAATAAAAAATTAAAAGAGTTTTTTTTCTTTTACATTATTGTATTGGCCATATTTGACCAAGTCATAAAAAAACAAAGCAATATGGACGCGTACTAGGTCTAATGTCAGACCTAGTCCTCTTCAGGATCAAGCATAAACTCTCGGATATGGCATCTATTCTCTTATATTTTATATTTTTTTCTATAATTTAATTATTTGAGTTTAAGAGTGGTATAGGTGGACACTTTGCTGCTCTACAATAGAGATTCAGCTAGAAATGAAGCAGAACAGAACCACTATTTTTCTATTCGGCTATACGATTTAAAAAAATGGGGGGATTGGAGAAAGAGGAAAAAGAAGATAGTAAAGATTTAAGTATAATGGGATAGGATGAACTTACATCGGTGTAAGAATAACAAATTTTATACTAAATTTTAACCGTTGATTTCTGTGCATCTAACGGTTAAAATTTATTAGAAATTAAAAATTAATTAATGAGTAAAACCTAATAAATTTTAACTGTTAAATGCAGAAAATTAATGATTAAAATCTAGTATAAGACTTATTATTCTTACACCGATGTAAGACGATGCTGGCCAAGTACAATTGTAGAAGTTTCAACTTCCAATTGGTTTTCATTTGAGCGCTTCCAATAAGAAGGGGTTTTATTTTGTCTCATTTTAATATTACAATGTAGGTAAAAATGTTAGTCTAAGGATGGTTATTTTAGTTAAAATTAGTATTTTTATTTAAAATTTAAATAAAAAAAAATCATTTTCTCCTTGTGATTGTCATTATGTATTTCTTTCTCTTACTTAAAAGAACATAATTCATTTACAAAAAAAAAAAAAAGAACATAATTCTATATCCTTTAAAAGGACAAACATCAAACTTTATAATGTATATGAAAAATCTCCGTTATTTTTTGAAAGAAAGTTTATCATTGCAGAGAATATAATTTTGTGTCATTTTAAGTAAAATAATTGTTTTTTGTGCATATTTATTGGTCTCTCTTTTTCACAAAATTAGGAATAGAGAGAGAAAGAAAATATGATTGATGAGAGAGAATATAAAAAATAAATAAACATATATCAAATTACGGTCATTTTATTTAAAATAACACAAGGTTGTAAATACTTTTTCCATAATTTTAATGACAAAACTTGCAAAAATAGAAAAAGAAAAAGAATTATTTTAATTGCTAATTATTAATTTCTTAATAAATGAATGATTGAAATTTCTCAAATAACATAATCACAATGAAAAGGTGATTCCACCGTATCTATGCATCTCTCCTCATTTAAACCTTGGGGGTGCCTTTTGGTTCGGGACATCTCTAAACTTTCTCAGTCAAGTGAAAGTGGCATTCTCAGTTGTCTCCGTTTGGTAGAAGGAATGAAATATTTTACCCATCCAACGCAGTTGCCCAGCCATTGAGAAAAACATGTAAAAAAGCTACAAATGTATTGTGCAAGAATGCAACTTCCAACGTGGTATTTGCGAGAAAACTGGATAAATGTAAAAAGTGGATAAAAATAGTGACAACATTACCCTTCTTCTTAACCACATGTGATCAAAGAATCCATTAAAGAAAGGTTACTTTCGTAATTCCGATCCATTTTTCTATCAAAATTTTATTTTCAACCAAACATAAACTCAGGATATTTAATCCAATTTTTCCAGTAATATTTTGCGGAACCAAATAACTTTTTTTAAACTTTCCTACCAAATTTACTGTCTCACTTTTTTCTTGTAATTACATTTTTTCACTAAAAAAAAAATTCTTCTCTATCAAATCCCCTTTGAAGAGCACATCGTAACATGGATGGGAATCTAGAACCTCTTGGACTTTTAAGCGTCCATAAGGGCCCGTTTGGTAGGAGGATTTTTTTTGTTTTCCCGGGATTCCTTGGTTGGGTAAATAAGAATGCATCGTTTGGTACAGACTTTTTAAAATTTTCCTTGGAATCTGATTTTCTCGGGATTTTATTTTGTGTGTAAATTTTTTTGAAAAAACCATCAAGGAATGCCATTCAAAAGGTGGTATTCTAATATTTCAATGGCAAGGGAAAATTTAATACAATTAAACATAGTATCAAGAAAATTAACCCAATATTCCCGGGAATATGTTAGTCTACCAAACAACTTTTTGATAACATTCCCAGAAAACTCATTTTTTTCATCATATTCCTGAAAATCGTGATTCCCGGATAAAAAAAAAATTTCCTCTACCAAACGCCCCGTAAAGGAAGGTCTAACTTGGATTCATATAAATTATGCTTAAGATGTCCGCTTTCAATTGGCATGGGCTTCATGACAAATTTAAAGCCTAAGAAACACATACATATTAAGCCTATAATACATTAAGTCAAGTTGGACGGCAAAATATACAATCTATATAGTTTGCAAATTTCACAAGATACAAACCAACAAATGCATTGCATGAGCATCATCTCATTGGCAATGGCATTGAGGATAAATTATGCTTGCTTGGACAACTTCAAAATTCCTGAAATATAGTTTTAAGTTGGCATTTTTCTTGCCTGATTCCTCAGGGAAAAAATAAATAAATTAATTAATTAAAGTCAATTGGATCATGTAATTGGGCATAATTGGAGTCCTAATATATTGATCCAACACCCTAACCATCTCTATCAAACAGTATTTTAGTTTTTTCACCAGGTGAGATGCGAGACTAATCCTCACTTTGGCATTAGCTATAGCAATTTCCAGTAAGATTCAAATCAATGCACTGCAAGCAAAATCAACCTACATAGTAGCTCTCTTTAGTCATACCTCATGATTCTATCAAACACAGTCTATCACAAATACATTATAGACAAAAACATTTATAATGAAGCGAAATGGAGAGGAAACAATTAGTAATGTGAAATTAAAATAAGCTAAAATCAAATACACATTCTCACTGTACAATGCACGCCCTATTAATTAATAATTTCATGTCCGAAGAGAATGAAATCAAATACGAAGAATCTTAAGAGGAATGACACATACACAAACAAAAACCCTCATAAACCCCCCAACAAAAAATATAAATGAGTGGTTGAGAAATTTTAAAGGATGAGTCACTTCTTAGCCACTTATTTATTATTTTGTGAAGGGTATGCCTGTGTATGCATCATTTCTCAAATCTTAAAGCTTCAATGTGAGATCAGGGGATGTAGATGTTTGTGGTGGAGGAGGAGGAGCCATTGGAACAAAGCTAGTATTCATAGTTTGAGCATTTCCAAGATCAACACCAGCTCCTTGGTGCACCTGTCTGAAACTTCCAGGCCAAAAGAAACTCATATCATCATCTTCCATGTAAACTAGTGATCCAAAATGGTGGTTTTTCTCAAATTTTGCACCAGCTCTCATGTCAGGAGTTGTCAGTGATGGCATTTGTCTTCGGTGCATTGCAGCATGAGCTTCAATACCAAGAGAGCGAAAAGGTGAACCATGAAGAGGTAGTGATGCCAAGCTAGTGTACCTCTCAGTGAACATCCCCATTCTCATTGCACGCTTAGCCATTGTCCTCTCTCTTTTGTGAGCATTTTGGTGACCCCCCAATGCCTGTGAGCTGAAGAACTTGCGCCTGCAATAATTACAAGAGAAAACTCTTGGAGTTGCTGCATGATGAGCTTCAGCTCCCACTTCACTGCTAGCATCACTTGAACCTTTCAACTCATCACTGGAATTGAAGTTGAGTGTCAAATCAAGGGTAATAGAACCTGGATCAGCTTCAGCCTTTGTAAGGTTTGTAAGACAGGAGGAAGTGGTGGTGCTGTCCTTAGTAAGATCATGGGATGCTTCTTGTAAGGATATTTTGGAAGCCACTTGGCTGCTACCTTCTGAATGATTTTCAGGTTCCAAGTTCAAGTTTGGAGTCATCATTGTTTATATGGATCAGCTAAGAGCTAACTTCTTTTCCAGAAGGCAATTCGATGGAACAAATACTTCACTTTGGTTAGCTTACCATAATAGCATCACCTACATTACGATGAAATGCATTACTTGCTTAGTAAAGTTGGGAATTTCGTTTTTGCATGTAAAATGGAACATACAAGATTCTGGTATTAACATGAAGTTAGCAGTAATATGCAATCAAAATAGAGAAAACCATGTTCAATCCAATCATTTACGCCTATGTCAATAAAATACAAATTATCGGTGCAGAAACATAAAAAGATATTACGATCATTATATAGGTGATGATAGTTATATGGAAAATCCCTTCTATAGGACAATGGAAATCAGATAATGGGAACAACGTTACTCAACTGCTTCTTACAAAAAGACTTGTCATAGCTCAAATTGAGCACGACAGCCATAACAACAATTGGCATGTGAATCTCATCAAGATGCTGGTTCATTGTATAAAGTATGCACCTCTCCAAGATATTATACATTTTGAAAAGAAAAATCATGTCACATATAACAGTTGCTATGAACAAAATATCACCCGGAAAAGTTGCCCGATTTTCTTGTTATCTAACATTTATCCTTTTTTACTTTTCTTCAGAAACTGGAAAATCATCGATGATAGAAAGGGAGTAAGGAACCAGAATGGAAATTCCTTCCATAAAACACTTCTGCAACATGTATCTTTTTAAATGTCAGTTATACTGTTTTTCCCACAATCCCTTTGACTATATACCATTTGGTTAATGCAGTATACTTTTTCATTCTACAATAATTCCCTGTAGACAAGCCTAAGCCTGTTTCTTCATTATGAATCAATTGTCTAACGTAATTTGCTATCTGAAAAGTAGTTCAGTTAAACACTAAACCTATAGCAGAACAGAATTCTGCTAGTTTGAGCGTGTAGGATATAAAAAAATGTAATAAGGGAAGCCGGGAAGTAAATATAGAAAAATAATAGGATATAAAACATGGAGAAGAAGAGATGTCATAACATACATAGAAGAAATAGAAACAAACACCGGGGCATAAAGAACAAAGGAGAAGATAGGAAAGAATAAACCAAGAAAGTCTTGTTAAGGATCACAAGCATAGTAGCATACACAGTTTTATTTCTTATAGTTGACACAAACCATATCTCGGATAATGTTGGTTTCTAGTTTACTAACCAGTTCTCCATAAATTAAAGTAGGGTCATTCTTCTGTTAAAGAAGATCTAAAGATATTACATGTGCTTCCAATATAGTCGTGCTCCTTTGTGTCACAAATGTCTCATATGTTCATATCAATATTATCCTTTTAATATGTAAGGCTCTTGCCTTGAAGATTTCTACACAAAGACATAGGCTATTGAAGATTAAATGACCAACTTGGGTCACAGCAAAATTGCAGAATGTACATAGAAAACAGTAATTTATCCCTTTCACTGTTGTAATACCTCACCTTACGGAAAAACTTATCTAGTTCCAACACTAATCAAAATGACAGCAGAGAATGTAAGAATACATTTCTTTCATAAAAAATAGCTGTCCAATGAGACTTTAGGTCACGGGAAACTATCCAGTACATAAAGAAAAGCTTTGCTGAGAAATATGGTTGTTTCTTGTTGCAGACCTATTTTACAGAAAGATTTCAAGAATTATACCATGACTTATTACCTTACCCACCTACCCTATTCTACAACCAATCACAATCAGCTGGTTGAACACCCAATAACTGAAGGAACTCACCAATTATCAGTCACTCTTACTAGTTAATTGTCCTCTTCTATTATAGGCCACTGTTGCAGGCCTACAAAACATTAACTGGTGATTGCTCACATGCCAATTACCATGGATGCTGGTTATTTCTCCATGGAAAATCAATGTGGGGGGAAAGACCTCAAAGGTGTATTTAATCAGATTCAAAGTATGAAGAGTTATAATATGACTTTCTTTCATATTTTTGAAGCTTTTCATAACCAAAATATAGCAAAAGAGTTTTCAGATGAATGTGTTCTAAGGCAAGAATAAGAACTAAAGAAACATAACCATTTTTTTTTATCTTCTTTTCATTTCGTACAAGAATGAAGAATTATCTTGGATACAAGATAAGACTTGAATGAAAAATGTACCTTAAGTATGGTCCTCATCACAAGACAGCACTTAAATAAGCATTTTATTATACATTTGATATCTTTTCTTCTGGTAGGTAGAACCTGGCCCATCTCTTAGATTACCTTGTGGGCTATTTAGTTGGTCACAGCACATTAAATTCCATTGCTTCAAACACCATAGAATTCACACTTCATTTTTCCTTTCCCAGTTGGAAAGCAGAAAATAAGGTGCCTCTTTTGACGCACTAAATTATGAAAGGGAGAAAACTAGCATTGTCTGTTGTTATGAACTACCACTATTATTTTCTTCATCAATAATAATTTAGGGAATTGTCCTTCTCAAATCATGAACACCATGTCAGTTTTTACAGTCTTACATCCTTCCCTTGCCGGCAAAGGTAGATGATCTTTTAATTATACTGACATGAAAAGGCTCATGGCAGGTATGTTTTCAGGAGTTACTTCAAAATAACATTAAGGAAAAGATCGCAAAAATTTACGATTATTTAAATCAAATAGGTTTAACTGAACACTCAAAGGGAGTTATCTCCATAAAGTTGAGAAATTTAGCACTTCCATGCTTGCATAGAAGTAAATTACCTCCAGAGGTTAACTAAACGATTCCAACATCATTCATCAATTCATATGACATACTTTAACTAAAACGCATTTCTTGCAGTGGACTAACTAACCACCCAAAACAAACAAATAATTAGGAGATTGCAAACACTCGAACTAAAGAAGATAATTATGGTTTGGAGTGGTTATAGAAGAAAGAAGTTAAAGAACATGTGGGAATTAAGAGTTACTAAAATCACTGAACGATACAAATAGCAAAGCGATGCAATTAACATCAAATTAAAGGCTTCCCGTTGATAGTTACAACGTAGATCTAAACTTAGGAAACTGATGATATCACAATTAATCCAGCACAAAATCGGTTTCAAATTATACAAAAAGAAAAGAGAAAACACAAAATCTCAACATCAACAACAAAAGTTTTTCCTTGCAAGCTAAACTAAAGCTTCATGAAACTCCAAATCACAACAAAAGGAAGAGCAATACGATAATAAAAAGAAAAAGGTAAAAAAAAAAAAAAAAAAGATACCAAAAAAAAAGAAACGGTAAAGAGTAAAGCAGAGTGAGGAAGCAGCAGAAGACCATAAAATGCATGGGAGAAATAGAAGAAAGTGCATAATCAAAAACAAATTTTTAAGGTGATGACTGAGATGGGTGAAAAGAGGTACTTACAGAACATAGTACAGTACAGTACAGTACGGTTAAAACTGCAAGGTAGGTTCCTTCAGTGATATGCTACCAACTAGGGACTCTGGAGACTATAAGCAACAACAAACAAAAGAGGGGATAGTGTGCTTCTTCTTTTTTAGCATTCAGCAGTTGAAAGGGGTGAATGAAGAATTAAAAGGAGATAAGATAACAAAGAGTGATTGATAGATGGAGAATTATGGAAAAGCAGAGAGAGAGAGAGAGAGAGATGATGGAGGAAAGTCAGAGAAGTCAGAAAACATGTAGAGGTGGACCACTTGTTTTGTCGAATTTGAGGTTCTATTTGCCACTTCTCAACTTAGCTTAGGTGCCAAGGGCTAATTATCAGTTATTGTGTGAACGTGTCTGGGTCTGTCACTGTGTCTTTGTCTGTATCTGTGTCTGTTACATGTTCAAAATGACCAAACACCAATCCAATCCCTACTTTGTCTGCCTAGGACCACCACCTTTACTAAACACAAGAAGACGCATGCTACTACTATACAAAAATAAAAATGAAAAAACGTGAAAATTTCAGATAAAAAAAATTGTTCTTTACTATTTTTGGATATATTTTGGGTTTTTCATCCTAATATAATACATGGAAAACGAAATATTTTTCCTTATTTATACAAGGGGTTTTATAATTCTTATTATTCAACATGAAATTTAAAATCTTCCTACATACTCTTAGATTTTCATGCTAATATGGTTCTCACATCTAATTTTTGTAACACATAAATTCTACATATTTTTTATCTCTATAACATAAGATTTCAATTCTCATATAACTTGATAATTATAAAATTCTTATACAAAATTCAAACATTGCGTAACTTGCCGCACACAATAAATAACAAGTGAGTCGTGATTTTTGCATAAAACTCAAACACTCCCAATTTAGAATGCACGGACACGCCTTTAAAAAAAAAAATATGTGTCGGACGTTGACATACCCGACATATTTCGACATGCGGTCAATATTTTGAAACACGTGATCAACGCTCCGACACGCATTGACATGTGTTTCCGATACGCAGTCAACTTTTTTCGACACGCAATCAACGCTTCCACACGTATCCGATACTTTTTTTTTTAAGATCTAAATTTTATTTTATTAACTAAAAATGAAAAACTAATTTATAAGTCAAATTTTTTTTTTATGGAATTTGACATAAAAAATTAACAAAGTATGAAAAATTACTTTTGCTTTATATTTACGTTAAGAAATTTGAATATTTGATTGATTATATGACTTATTATGGACTATTTTATGTATTAAATATAAATTATATTAAATATATTAAAAATATTAATTAATATCAAATTGTGTCCTAACGTGTTGAAATATGACAATTTTTAGAATTAACATGTCGGCGTATTGTATCGTGTCGGCGTATCGTATCGTGTCGTGTCTCGTGTCCCATGTCGGTGTCGGTCCCGTATGTGTCTCACAATATTATTTTGAATAAATATTTGATATTTAAATAAAAAAATTATTTTCATTTTCACATTTAATGGGTCAAAAGCGCATTTGTTTTCATAAATTTTCTTCTTAGTCCGAATCCACTGTGAATCCAACTTTACAGTCTGAAGCATAAATATGTGCCTGTGTTTTGTTCATATACTGAATAAAATAAAATAAAAACCCACCCAAAAAAAAAAAAAAAATCTTCGATGGTCGTTTAGCGAAAAGCAGTGGACCCGGTCTTTTCAATATTTATTTAACCTTTATTTCTTTATGTGAAATATTTTTTCTATTATTTCGAGCATGAACTATGCAGGATATTTTTGTTTACCATTTCTTGACCCAGCCACCTTTGTCATAAGCATGTGGACTCCCATAACTTCCCCCACCTTTTCCCACTTGTGCATTGCGTCTTGATCTTTATCTTTCTTTTTCGTTTTCCCTTTTTTGCTTTGGCATTCATGGAGCTGCACCGTTTATTTTGCACTATTTTATTTGTTTATAAAAATACAATAGTGCATTGAAGGCACAATAACATAACTTATATTGGGGACAAGCCAACAGTTTTTTCCTTTAATAGTAACTCAAACTTACAAGTGAACGGTTTCAGAAAAATTTAATTATAAGGATTCGTTCAGAAATTATGGGTGTGTTTGATTAGTGTTTTAGAAAACAATTTTTTTGTTTTGGAAATTAAAAAACAAAAAAATTTGTTTGATAAGAGTGTTTCCTAAAAATAATTTTAAAAACAATCACTGGTTTTCAGTTTTTAGAACAAAAATATCAGAACACCTTAGATTTGTTTTTGTTTTGGTTTTCGCGTTTTTCGTTTTGAGAATTACAAAAACACGGAGAACACTGTTTTCATTAATGGCAATAGTGTGAATACCAACATATTATTATAAATCATTTACTATTTCAATTTTTTTCCCTTCTTCTTGACTGCAACTCTAACTTTCTTCTCAATCCCTCCATCTCTCTCCTGTTATCAATATCCTCTTCAATCAATATTCAAGAAGGAAGAAGGAAATTAATTTCTTATTCGTTTGAAACTAGTTTTTGCAATATATCTAAGTTTTCAGTTGTATCTAAATAATCAGCTCTGTTAAAGGAAAAACATTCTTCTCTTAAGAAAGTCGTTTAAACACTTGACGGACATGGTTTTCAGAGATCAAAATTTTTGGTTGAACAGATTCCGAAGACATTCACGAATGATTGGATCTAGCTTTTGGGTATTTTAAGTGGGCAAAATTACAAAATGAAGAAAATAATCAAATGAGTTTTATGCTTTCTAACTTTGAAAATATGTTTTCAAAACAAAATTATCAAGCAAATTTTTTTGTTTTTTAAATTTTAAAACTCTTTTAAAAACAATTTTATCAAGCAGATTTTTTCCTTCTTTTGTTCTGAAAAACAATTCTTATAAACAATTCTTATAAACAATTCTACAAAATTGTTTTAAGAACAAAAAAACTAAAACACATTCAAACAGAGCCTATATATTCACTTTTTTTTTCTGATTTTCAGATGAAATCAAAATTCATTAAGTAAAAAACATGTGTAATAGTTCATAACAAAAAATTGTAGAGGAAATTTCTTTAATCTAGAAAACTTCCTTAGACACCGAGCAAAAGAATACAACAGAAAGTGTAAGGATAAGTAGCCCTAATAAAGGATTAATGTTGTATATAATCCCCACTTGCACCTCGTGTCAACCAAAATCCACACTATCCGTGAGATATTGGATCTGATCACACACGGTTAAGTCTAGTCTAGTTGGAATCCGATATTAATTTGTAGCGGGATCTGATGAGAGATTTTGTGGGATGGTCTTTGGGAGGGATGATTGTGTTGATATTGGAGATCTTTGCTAGGTTAAGACACATAGAGGGAATTACCTGAAAGATGCTCCGACACTCAAGTCAATACTTGATAAATGAGCTTCAGTAATAATGGAAAAGATGATCATACCTGATTTTGAGCCCTCTTTATATAGTGATGGTATAATCTGCTTGTGCCACCTTAATATAATGGTGTTCAGTCTGATTGGTGGGTTCAGGTGGCTTTTGCAGCCTATCCTACAATAACCCGAATAAATAAATTATATAAATGGGAAGTAATTAGTAATTTAAGGCTAAGGAAACTTCCTAGTAAACACAATATAGTGCTGGACATTATGAAGAAGCTTTCTAATATGTTTTTCCCAACATCACGAACCTTATTCATCCAAAATTCATCATTTCCGTTATTGCAAAACATAATTTTCCTTTCAACCCATAACTTGAGCTATAGAGAAACATTGTAGCGGACAAGTTCACAATGTTATTCTAAAGTTGATAGATCTGTACTACCAAGAGAAAGAGCGTTACAATCTTACTAAAATTAGAATAATGGTAGCCCAAACTCCCTTAGCCTAGCTAGCCTATATTTCTCAAATAAACCAGAAAACAAGAGAAAGTTCCCAATAAAATCATATTTTAAATTTTACTAAAATTTTGACAAAGTTTCCTTTGTATTTCTAACATTCCCAACAAAGTTCAAACATCTGGAACACAATGTATATATTACCAGCCAACAACAATAATAATAACAAAATATATAATCCAGACTCTAGAGACTTAATAAAATCAAAAGGATGTCGCTACCAAACTCCCTATAGCTGTAGAATGCTCAGAGTTCCAAAACAAACAAAGGAATGACATCTTATCCAAAAAGAGAGCTACCAAAATATGCTACATAAAGATATGCAACTCCTAGCAGTGTGCTACTCAGTTGCCTGGTGATTTGGATGGTAATATAAAAATAAGGGTGAGTTACACAGACTCAATGAGGTCATAATGATTAAAATGAACAGGAAAGGGAAATAAAATATGCACAAGTGCTTTATCTTTTTAACTGCTTAGCCATAAACATAGTTGAACAATGAAAGTAAACAATGTAAATAAAATCAACAACGTAGATATATGAATAAGAAATCAATAAATTTTAGAATGATGTAATGACCATTTATAAAGCATCATAAAATCATAATTTTAATACGATAGAGATCACACATGACAGAATCAAGCAATGACAGCTCCACCTCGCTAATAGTCCTCTCCTCCTAAGGGTTTCCTTTCCCTTAAGGGTGACTCCATCTAACAAGAAGCCCTTTCTTTTCTCAAGTCAAGTCATCGGGGGTGGCTTCATCTAGCTGTTAACTCTCTCCTCCAAGAGGTGGTCTCTCTTTTGGGCCAGCTCCATTTAACAAATAGCCCTCTCCTCCTGAAACAAATGTCTATACAATTAGGCGCACCTAGATTGTTACCCCCGCTAACGATTATGAGATTCTAATATGGATTCCAAAAATATTATAAAATATTCGAATAAAGCAACCTTTGACTCAACTAAATTTATTTCCAATGATAAGTACAAATTCTAAAATCTCAACATTTTAAATTAAATATTTCATAACAAAATTTATATCCAAAATTTATAAAATAATTACAAATGTCAAAAATCATAAATAAAATGTCATTATATAAAAATTCATATCATGTACTTTTAAAATGTATAAATTTGACTATTCACATTTTAAAATATTTGTTTTCCCATGCATTTGTTATTAAACAATAATAATAAAATAAAATTTGAAGGATAATGATAAAAATAAAATATGTCATCATAATTTATCATTCACTCACAGCTCTGAGGAACCAACTAATGCACTTCCAATGACTCCAGGTAAGCAAAGAGCTGGGTTTTAATTAAATCTGGACATCACAAATATTTTAACAATGCCTTAAAAATTATTTAAGATTAAAATAATAT